TCGTTGCCGTTTTCATTTACAATAGATTTGAAAAACGAAACTCTCAAAAGCGCACCAATCGGAAGCAATGCACGGTTACTTCTCTTTACCGTTCTCTGGTAAGACCCGCTCATAAACAGCCAAATTTTGATTGGCTTCTCTTCAAATGTCTTTTGCTCTCGAATAGGTCTTCAGAATCTTGAAAGCTGTGAAAAATTTTCAACCAACAATTTTAATTCATTTCTCCCAAAGTCCAACTCCTCTTTAGAATATTTAGGAAAATTTCCCTTAAATTTGCTTTCTTGTTTTGTCAAATGCCAAGAAATCTCGCCTGTTAAAAATTCTGGAGATAACACGAAAAATGTTGCAATGTTTAAGAAATTGTCAGTTTTATTTCAGTTTTCTAGCTTGCTCATAGAAGCTTTCAAAGAATCGATGAATTTTATGTATTTCTTCTATGCATTCGAATATTCACTTTATTCATCTGCTAAAAAAATTATCCACCATATAAGCAAGACGCAAGACCTGTTCCTCATCTTCACTCCAAGAAAAAAAATTTCCACTTTCCCTTTAATCTTTTGATAGTCATCAACGAGCTCAGCTTGCACTCCAGTTACGCCTCGCAATTGGCGACAACTAACACAGCTCGCATCTCTAGGGGGGCTGAGTATTTCTGATGCCAGTGCTCGATTATGGATCTTACAGAGAGTGTACTTCCAGAAATGGAGTTTTCATTTAACCATTTTTGACCCCAACATAGCTGGTGCTCCATCCGTGAAACACCCACATGCATTATCCCGCGAAAGATTTTGACTGAATGAACTGAAATCTTTTTCAAAGTATGAGGCTGTGGTGGTTGTTTCTAGAAGACCGCAAAAGTAACTCCTCTTTAAATGAACTTAAGTTTGTATATCTTGCCAACACAGCAACTGAGAACACCATACCATATCGGGCGATTCATCGAATGGAACTAAAAATGAGCCAAATGCGACAAACTATTAATCTTTGATCAACTACCATATCATTGATTCTCCTTTGAACATTTCTGTTTGTAAATTGCAAGTTTTTCCCTCCATTTCATTTCCAAACACAATTTCCACCATTCTCTGAGAGCGCAAAGTTCACCCAATTATATGCGGCTTTCTCTGCTTACCTATCTAATGCTACCACATAGAAAGCTTCAGTAGCTTTGTGAATTTTATAGGAATGCCTTTGCTGAATCTATTTTATCATTTTAGGACCATTTCCATCCCGTTCAAAAACATTTTGTCCTTGTTTCGCAAATATTGCTTTAGCTTCGTTGCTTTCAAGGAATTGTTTCACTAAAGCTCGCTAGGAATAGCACATACTGGTCTTCTCCATTGACTGTAACGGACGTAAAATCATTGATATGAATCATATGTTCTTTAACACTAATTTTGTTCTAGCGAAAAATGTGAAGCTTGCATGGTAAATGTGTCAGCGAACAAAACTCATTGTCTACAATTATAAGTAAAATGAAAAAGAATCGATGCGCAGGACATTACGGGATAAAATGAGCATGTGGGAATTTGTGGAAACTTGCTTTCTACTTGAATGTGTGCCTTGGCGACATATTTGTTTCGAAATATGTCGCCATTTTGGTAGCAAATCAAATTCTTCTCTATTTACTTAAATTGTACTGCATCAGGAATCCGGTCGAGTCAAGGCCATCTTGATGAGAGAAGGCCGAAGCTAACGTTTGATGACAGCACCGCCAAAATGATCTTGAGTCTGCGTGCTTTCTTTTTCCTGGTAGTATATGAGAAACAAATATATTTTTCTTTTCCTAAAATCAATATTTTTAAAAAAACTGACGAATTAAATAATGACGAGATTGTATCTGAGGGGAGTTTCTCAAATATTAGTTTTTGCTTGCTAATCAATCACATTCTTTATAATACTAGATCTTTGGTTGCATACCATTATATGTAGTTTAATACCATTAAACATTGAAAAATCAAATAGTTTTAAACTAATTAAAATGAATATTGTATCAAATTTTTAACTACAGTGCATTCAATATGAAATCAAAACTCTATATTTTCACTTATCCCCAAGCAACAGGAGAAACTGTTTTTGCTTTCTCGTATTAAAAAAAAAGTCTTACCCAGAAGTTCGAAAACTGCAGATATTATTTCACGTTTAGTCAAAGGGATTGACATTCAAGAGAAGTTTATGCATCTTAGATAAGATTTATCATTATTTATATTTAATTGTTTATATCGGATAATTTCAAGATAAAAATGTTACTTTTAAATTAATCTGAGAACGTAGCAATGCATTTCAATTCTTCATTATTTGATTTACACACAGATTTTTGACATTGATTCTTTATGAATTTGTTATTGATAGACATGCATAGAAAGATGGTCAATGTAAAATTTGCAGTAATTAAGAAATACTCATTTTCATAACCAAACATTTGTTTCATAAATTTCAGAAATTGCATTTAACATGAGTTAATATAAAGGCATACGGAAATTAATGTAAAGGAATAATAATTTGTCTAACATAATTAATATTTTTATTGTAACACGCTATGAAAAAACGTTGTAACTATAAGAATACATTTTAATCTTATTAATGCATTACTAATAAAGATTGTTTTTTCCTTTTCTGGGGTTTTGTTTGTTTTTTAAAGCGATCATTATCATCAAACGATTATCATCAAAATATTTAACGGCAATGAAATTCTGCCGTTCTAATGAGGTTGAATATAATACTTTTTTCGAAAGTGCTGGAGCTGTTTCTCTAGAATGGTGCTATTCTATGGTATAGAATTTTTCAAATACAATGGACTTGCATAATGCAGCTGTATCATTTAAAGATGGAATATTAAAGGTTTGATTGGTTTCAGTTTGGTTCAACCAATTATTCCTTGCACATTTCAGTAAATGGACTGAATCAAATAGTAAAAAAATCCTTTCCCCAAATAAAATTCATTTTCAATGGCAGACACCATATGACCATTGCATAGCATTTTACAATTAACATAGTTATCGAAAATTATGGAAACAACCTTGAAGCCCCAATCATGGAAAAATTCAACGCCTGTAAAGACTGAATTTTTAAACCGTTTGGCTCGGGATTATAGACAGGAAACACTGCAACAACTTCTTTATTCGAAGATATCGTAAAGATTTGAATGGTAGAAACTTTTTGAGACATATCCTCTACATGCCAAATCTTCAATTTTATCATTATCCCCTCAAGATGACCTTGGTCGAGTCTGGGTGGTTCCATCACTCTCCTTGAAACTATGAAATTTCTCCAGATGGGGAGAGAACCTCTGTTCAGTATTACCTTCGTGATTCTATCTAGTTCTGTTAAGCTACTGCGTTAAGATTACCATCTCCTAATAAAATCGTACAACCTTTCATGGTTTAACTCCCTCTCCATTTTCTAGAGTGTTCGAATCTTTGAATATCAAGTGAATCCAATGCAATGTTAATTGACAGATGTTTTCCACTGTTTTTGCAAAAAGGGAAGTGTTAGCAAAAATGGAACGCATTAGCTGCATGGGAGTTTTCGTGGTTTTTTCCCAAGTGCTACAGGAATGCTCATTCCTGTAGCACTTATAATTTGTATTTAGACTTCGGGATGGGTTACACATGGACTCCTTTCATTCGAGGCATCATGCGCTATCTGCATTATAGCGAGCCCATAATCATATTGGCCATTGAAACAGCAGGATCTGTATACTCTTAATTTTGCTGCTTACCGTAAATATCACCCAGCTTAACTTGTCCTTCCTTCAGGCATCACTCTTTAGTCCTTTTAGTCCTGCTGAGCCTTAACTAAATACTCGGATTCGACCTGATTTCGGTTTCATGCTTGCTTTCAGACAGTGAGCACTAATTTTATTACGCAATTGCATGCTCTTGTATTTTCGCTGTTAGGATTATTCTAGGAATACAGACAGTTAGTTCAATATAATTTACTTCACAATGAATTCTAATGAGAATTTTTGAAAGATTTTTAATTTGGAGAATTTTCTAATGATAAATAGGCGAAATAGTTCTAGGTAAAGTTACATTCAAATAACAGAATCTGAAGTCGCCAGTAACAGTTACGTTAAAGCTTAGCTAAGCAAACTAAAGCACAGCTTTCAATTAGTATTCATCACTTTTCATCCTTAGCTCTCGCATTTCCTGTGAAATATCTAAAGATTTAAATAAACTGTAATTATTGCATTGGCTTTTCGTTATTAATTGCAAGAAGTTTTATTTCCTTAAAATAATAATTCTAGGTATGTGCTTCCAATTAATCTCAATGTAGTGAATCATGTGGAACATTTCAATCTTTTACGCTCAGTTTAAATACGAAAGTAAAATACAAAACTTTCGTAGAAGAACCAAAATTCGCGGATATATGACGCTCGGATGGTTCTTCAGTGCCTATTACGATAAAAATTTCGTTTCTGAATTAAATGAATTTAATAAATGGTTTACATTACTGAGTTAAGCAGATGTCATATTAAAGTAGTAACTGCCGCTTGAGCACATTACACATCCGAGTTTTTCGCATGAAAAGTATGGACCATGTTGAACTTAATCCACAGCGAAGATTTTGCTGATCTGAAGTTTCTCCTCTCAAAAGAGCTTCTAAAAAATCTGCCTCTATAGTTTCGAATTATTTTAAGTTGCTTCATTTTGAGGCAAACAACTGGATAGGGTTAATACTTGAGGAAATAAAACTGCTGTAACCATTTCACGAAACCTTTGTATCGTAATGTTATAATTCAACTATTTTAAGCTATGAGTTAGATTCCTTTAACATTTAGAAGTTCGTAGCTTTATTAGCGAAAAACAAAATGACGATGGTTACCTTTCTTTTGTGAAAAATTTCACCTGACTTCACAATCATAAGCAATTCCAAATTTTATGTAATTTTCCTTTGAGACAACCTTAAGTTTTTATTTTCCTTTCAACAATAATTTTAATAAAATTTATTGCCAAGTCTAAGCATAGACTAAAATTATTTTGGCCTTTTTGTTACAGAAGATCTTTGCCTCTATCGAGGAGTATACTACGAGCGTGGAGCTATAACTTACCTAAGTGAAGATCGGAATCGGGAGACTGAATGTTTATGTACTGTCCCTCCAGATTTCACATGTGTGAGGATGGCACCTCATCCAAACATGCAAAAGTAATTTAGAATTCATTATCTAAAACACTAATACCCATTGTGTTCAAAATTAAGTTTATTGGATATTTCGCATATTTCTTCTGTCAATAAATGCTTCACAAAACTGTAGTATTTGTGTACACTGATTTACCATTTTCACTTTTTTAAAAGCACAACTAAACCATTCAACTTGATATATAAGTGAAATTAGTATTTACTTGATTGCATCCTTTACAACTCCATCAAACTAAATTTCTAGAAAGGGACACTAAAACCTTTTACTTTTGGCATTGTGACTGTGGCGTTTTTCAATAACGGTGGAGATACTTTACAGATGTTTTCCGCTGAACAACTTCCACGTTACTGATTCATGAAATCCAGACATGTAAATTACATTTGGTATTGAGTGTTTTGAACGGAGGTTTAAATGGCTAAATGAAAAATTGTAACAAATTCCCAATTTGTTAAGTTTTTCCGCGCTAAATTGCATTAACTTTTTAACTAAATTATGTCTGAAAAAGTAATTTATTTTATGCCATCCATAATTTCTATGTGTAAATTTAGTATGTCAAAAATGCAGGAAAACCTGATTTTAACAGCATCGCATGGTTAGTGTAGTTGTGTTTATCATGTTATGTGTTGTGAGCAAAGCTGATTACAACAAACTACAGAATGGTCTCTTTAAGTCTACATTTTTTATGAAAAGTTTATTGTATATAAAATAACATAAGTATTGGAAAGGTTTAAAATAATCTGTACCATTAAAATCATATCACGTCGACGCTGAACGGCAGTATACCACTAAACCTTAACTAAACAGGTGAAAACCTAAATTAACATATATAAAGAGCATAAGAAAGCCAGAAACGAAGGAGGGTTAAGTCCTAGGATACTATTTCGTAAAAGTACAGTATTAAAAGCTGGTGGTTTTAATCCGTAGGTATCGAAACATGTTTACTATCGAATGAATACGTTATTCATAGGAAAGAATTTTTCTGAACTGCGCGAATTTCAAATTTCAGCATCGTTCACATTAAATGATTATCGATAGCAATTAGTTTTTCCGGGAACCTTTCCTTAAATTTAAGAGGAATTCATTAGCAATTTAATCTGACGATTACGATGACGAAGTACCGAAAAAAATATCTTCGCGTGAAATAAATTTCTATAACAACGAAAAATCTTTTCCTTGAAACTTGGGCATTTCTGTAGCGAAGTAAAATTGGCATCGCTGCAGAAATACGCCTCGCACATTGTCCTAAAGGAAATTAAATATAAAATCATTCTTTCACTTCTTTCCTTTCTTAACCATATATTTTTATTATTCCATTAAATTTTTCATAAAATAAGTTTCCTGTAAAATTGCTGAATTATCTAGAATTTAAACTCCGTCCTGTCTGAAATGCCTGCACATTATGAAGTGATCTGAAATAAAATTCAGGTGACCTACGCACCTGAATTACACAGAAGTTTTGTGGTTTTGGTTACTTATGGGTAAGATGCTGAAAAATTAAACTAACATCGGTTAAAAAAACTAACAAGTCTGGCCTACAGATGTGAAAATATTTAAATATTTTCTAAAAGTGGCTCAGTTAGCAAATTATTTCAAACTTCATTACTATCAAATATATGTAATAAAGTAAATGTAGTAATGTAAGTACATGTAAACAAGCAAGTATGGTTGAAAGAATAATTTGTAAGGTGATCAACATAAAATTTTCTACTCTAAAGCCTCGCAGCTGAACTCTACCAGATTTAAACTGACATATACTAAGGAAAGAAATTAGTTTCAGAAGTCTGTAATGGGGAAATTTATGCCATATTGCAAATATGAATAGCTTTAAAATTCTGAAAAAAATTGGTAAGGAAGGAACTGCTTTGAAATTAAAGATAGCTTTCAATTATTTCATTAACAAATAATTCAAAAAATTTAATTCTTTACATCAAGAACTTGAAAACAATAATTAAAAGCCTTGGTATGATGACCATTTTTCTGGCCTGAACATTTTATTCTGCGCATAATGAGTTCAAAAACAGAATGTAATGTTCAATCAGTCAAGCTGTCAAATTTTAAACCTTACCATGATAACAGTCTTTCCGTATTCTTATAAATCAAATCTAGAAATACTGGAACAGCGAATTGGCTAAGCAAATTGGAAAACATTAATAATCATACTTTGTTCAGTGACTTATTATTGAAGTTCTGCTGTATCAAATCTTAAAATATGAGGCACTTTTCTCGCTCTCCTGACATGAAAACTTTTGTTGCTGAGATACATAAAACCCAGATGTCCTGTTAGTATATCTGACCTTTCTCAGTTAGGATTCCTAAAGATAACTTAAATAATAATGTATATAGTATACCGTGTGGTATAAGTTTATGAATTTGTGTGGAATGATGCATAACATCAAAACACATAAATACAAAAGAAAACGCTGAGACTACTGCATATGATATGAAACTAGCACGAAACAATAAGTGATTCAAATATGATTCGACGAGAGTTCAGAAAAAAGATCTCTGAAAAATAAAACTTAAGAGTTTTAGTGTGGCATGTGATATACTCTGACTTTATACAGATATCGAAACGTGTTTTTGTAGCCCGTTCTGATTTCTATATAGAATGTCCACGGCTTTGGTAACAAAGTTCCACTCCTTGAACAATGCGGTCTTCAGGCCATTTTCATCTCTAACAGAAGGCTACTTCCATCTCTAACAGAAGGCTACTTCCATCTCTAACAGAAGGCTATTTCCATCTCTAACAGAAGGCTATTTCCATCTCTAACAGAAGGCTATTTCCATCTCTAACAGAAGGCTATTTCCATCTCTAACAGAAGGCTACTTCCATCTCTAACAGAAGGCAGAAGGCTATCCATTCTCAATAATCAGAAGGCTACTTCCATCTCTAACAGAAGGCTACTTCCATCTCTAACAGAAGGCTACTTCCATCTCTAACAGAAGGCTACTTCCATCTCTAACAGAAGGCTACTTCCATCTCTAACAGAAGGCTACTTCCATCTCTAACAGAAGGCTACTTCCATCTCTAACAGAAGGCTACTTCCATCTCTAACAGAAGGCTACTTCCATCTCTAACAGAAGGCTACTTCCATCTCTAACAGAAGGCTACTTCCATCTCTAACAGAAGGCTACTTCCATCTCTAACAGAAGGCTACTTCCATCTCTAACAGAAGGCTACTTCCGTGCAACTGCTTTCCCAAGATAGGGCCATAAGTTCTCTCTTGGATTAAGAATAAGATATTTTGCTGGGCACAGTATTTGCTCAATGTTTTTCCTTTCAAAGAATTCGTCAGCAAGTTTTCCTTGATGTGAAAGAGCAACATCTCCTACTAAAAATTTAGATCGATAAGCACCTAAATGTTTTAGGTAAGGCTCTGAGAACTCATCCCTTTATCTCTAGCCGGTAGCAGATCAGCTGCTGAAAATATATAGGGGCATATGTACATCGATCATTATTCCTCTTCATGCCATCACAACCTCATTGCCGAAACGTTCACGTTTCATAATTTTGGAAGGAAAATTTTGCATTCCTGACTTTCTCGAGATGTAAATACGTTTACAATTGGATGTTAAACTAAACCTTGTGTCATCAGCAAAGAGATCATTGGATCAGTGGTGTTTATTCCAGGTCTAATATTCTTTGCACTAATCAAAAGCGATCCCTCTTTTGTTGTGAAGAACAGATAGGGATACCCTTGGCTCTCTGGCATAAAGGCCTTTTTCACTAAAGCTGCTTTATAGAGTTTTCCGTGATACAACAGCCCCAGGGGCGGCTGCAAGCTCTGAACTTGTTACTGAGCAAAAGGCTTCCTTTAACGACAGACCCTGATTGCAAGACATCGGTTTTCAGAAACAGCTGGTATTCGTATAAACATTCTACAGGCTTTCTTACATGTTCATAGTTCTGAAACTGTTTCTATAGTGTACAGCCGTCTGCCTTGAAATACTCTCACATCTCGCTGCTTGCATGAGCGTCTGCCCTTTTTTTAAATGGTCGATGATTCGTCTCTTCATAGATCCTTCTAAATAATACTTTAGAGTTATAACCTACCGTTTTGAGTCCCTACACGTTGAAATCAAACTATTGCAGTAATTCAGTCATTCACTTTGCGCGAACCCCTCGACTAACCATCATATGACGTATCGCCTTGAATTACATATAAGAATCTTTTGATTGTATAATGCTAATTTGGTTTTTTTTTCACGTTGTCAGAAAAAACTAATTACTTCAATTAGAAATTTATGGAATTTAATTATCTTTGTAATATATAAAGATAAATCTGGATATCAGTGTACCTTGCTGTAATATATCTGCGTGCAGTGCAGCACATAAAATCATATTTTCCCATATTGATGGCTTTCGAACATTTTTAATATAATCTTATAAATAATTTTTACCTTAATCTTTCCAAAATTTTAATTAGAATGCAGCTTACTTTTGTTGCAATTCCGAATTTTAGGTAAAGCTACAGAATGCTTTGAATAGGGAAACATGTGTTATGGTAACTCTATATGTACAAGAAAGTTTGCATCTTGAACTGTTGGTCATAGATTGAGGTTTCTTTCTTTGGAAACGGGGATCTCTTTTCTCCGAGATTCCTATATGCTTTTTATTAAATAATCAATCTTTGAGTATGCAGTAAATGGAAAAAAAAGTACAAAATTGCTTCTTTTCAAAATTTTTGCATTTCACTTGGATGTATTTTTAAAAAGTATTTTTCATAAATAAATGTTTCTTTGAAAATAAATTAACACTAAAAGAATTGTAATTATTGACTTTGTGAAAAACGGAGCTTTACATCTCGCCCACGACGTTTTTTAAGCTCAAAAGTCCGCTACTGTAAACGAACCTTTAGTATTTTATTATTTTCTCATTAGTAACATTTACGTGAACCTAATTTCAAGTACATCTTTAACATATTCGAATCAACAGAAGACGGTCGACGGCCAAGAGGTTCATTTTGTAGACTCGGATCAGCCGCTGCAGAATTTCTTTATTTGAATTCTTACAGATATAACAGTCTTATTGGCTGAATTCTGTGACTGAATTAATGTTGATAGCATTCAATATTTAATACTCGTTGAAAGAAATAAATGTCCCAGT